GCATCGTAAATTCGACGAAAATGCCGCCGCGCTCATAGCGCTCTCAATGCGCTTTCTCTCAGAACCGATACTCAAAGCGTGCGTACGACGCACAGCTGCGTTCGCGAAGTGCAAGCAGAGCGTCGTGTTTAGCTTCGTTGCAGAGTTTTCTTCCTCAACGAGCTATCTTGAAATTATTCAGCCTTTAGCCGCGCTTTCCAGTTAAACTTTCTGCATTTAAGATGAAATAAATGTATGTTTAAGTCTCGAATGGGATAAACGAGTGTGGAAACGAGTGTGGGTGGGAAAGGGGAGAGAGAAAGAGAGAGAGAGAAAGGGGAGAGAGAAAGAGAGAGGGAAAGAGAGAGGGAAAGAGAGAGATAATGAGAAGGTAGAAGAAATTAAATCAGAGGAGTTTCACCGTGAAATGAAAATAGGTTTTTTCATATCTACCGTAATATGTTACAACGTCTTCAAGATTTCTTGGATATTTCTTAGCTTCGTTGAAGTTATACTAAAAGAAATATATAATCTCATCCTTAGCGGAACCTTCTTATATGTGTGGTCTCAAAAGGACTCTTATAAAATCTCTAAAACTAACATGAAAATATTTTAAGCGTAATATTCTTAAAATTAGAAGAATTTTGTCTTTGATGTACAAGTTTTACTTATCGCATCTCTGTATCGCGCATAAGAGAGCATTTTATTTCAAGCAAACATATGTCTCTTGATTCTAAAGGAAAATAGAATAAGAAAAGAATGATAACTAATAAATGTTCGATTGATGAACCACTTCATTAGAAGAGGAATATTCGTTCGCATAGAATATGGGGTTAGAGGAAATAACATCCTGCAACTTCTTTTTGACTGTTGAAATGTTTTCCTTTTGATACGTTTGAAAGAAAATTCTTTGAGACTAAATAATAAGAAATTTGCGCTAAGAATGAGAATATATATATTTTTATACATATCTAACAACATCGCGTGAAGTTATATCTAATAATAAGTATTTAATAATTCTCTAATCACACTACTCCTACAATGCACGAGAATTCTACTAGAGTGGTATTCCAGAACGGTATGTCTTCCGAGACAGATAAACCGGCATCCATCAAGCGTATTTCTAACGAACGTAGTAATTAATCGAAATGGGAAACTCGCGAACACACACACACATACACACAGAAATCCATTACACGAATTCTGAAATCGTCGAAATGAGAGATCAGTTCGAAACTGTTCAAATTCTCTCCTATTTTTCTGCTCCCGACGCGTAATTACTCACAAATGATTGGCGAAATAAATCTCTTACGAGTAATCAGAGAAAAATTAGAAAAATAACTTCTTTATTCCTTGGAATAAAGTGTGAATATTAGGAGTTTGCAAAAGTTTGTCCAATCGGCGATGATTACATTGGCTCGAAGAATGAGTCATTTTGCAGATGTAAAAGATAATTGCCTGAAAAATGGCAGGAAGTGTTGGATAACGATGACAAATACTCTCTGAATACAGTATGCGAATGTACTGTTTTGCTACTATTAATAAAAAAAATATAACTAAAAAACCGACGAATTCCTGAACCCTTAATATGTAACCAAATTATTTCAACAGAAAGCAATCCTGTGCCGGCAGTTCACACGTTGGTTATTCAAAATACAAATTATTAGTCTGTTAGAAAAATCATGTATGTGTGCACGATAAAAAATAATTTGTATTTGTGTTGAAATCGATCTGTGTAGCTTTTATATTATATTTTTAACATAACCCGTGTATTAATTTAACATATTGTTTTTATGTTATTTTGATTATTCTGCATTGAAGTTATATCCACCATTTCCAATGTTAAAATAACACACTTTATATATAACATGTACATTTTTGGTGACATATTTTACATGTAAAGTGTACAGTTAAGTTGCGTTACTTGTTAGCATATTTGCCTGTTAAATTAAAACTCGCGTGGACAAATTGGAATATGTAAGAAATATATTGAATTTAAGACAATATGTTTGTAATGTGTGAAATGAAGAAATATAAAAAGAAGCGAGAGTAAAAAATCTTAAAGGAATTCAACACAAATCCAAACCTTCTAAAGAAATGTTAAATTAAAAGAAATTATAAATTTAAGACAATATGTTTGCAATGTGTGAAATGAAAAAATATAAAAAGAAGCGAGAGTAAAAAATCTTAAAGGAATTCCACAAACTCAAATCTTCTAAAGAAATGTTAAATTAAAAGAAATTATAAATTCATTATGTGTGTGTATGTGTGTTTTCATAAAATAAAATAAAATTCCTCTCAATTTATTTTAATTTAATCATCCTTCCTATTGACGAAGGTAAAGAACGAGTACTGCATTCAAAGGACACGACGACGTGTAGCGAAATGCACTTTCAACAATTAAATCTAAATCCACATTCCCGTTTACACGCGGCAAACATTTAGCAGCTGTTCCGCTCACATTTTACCACTAAGAGTAAAAAGTAATCTTCATGTTAGATCGGAGAAATTACGAATTGCATGGTCACATTGAGCGCTAAATGTGTCGTTAAATCTGACCTCCTTATTGTAACGTTATCTCGTTGAGAATCAACTGGCCATATTTACCGATAAATGTACGTTACAAATACAGACTATTACATTAAACGACCGAAGTTTCTTTTCCAATTAAAACTAGCTTTACTCCGTTACCACAGAAAGTGTGCGAATTTCCAGTTTGAACAATTAAATTGCGTAGAGAAACTAATAAAGTTCGATCGCACAAAATGAACGCACAAAAATACTTGTACATACAAGATGTGTCGTGATTTTCTCTTCGTTAAATTTAAAATAAAAGTAGTGATCGTTTACGATACGGCCGTAGACGATAAAAGTCCTTTTGAAAAATTCAATTTTTGCACAATTATATATATATATATATATATATATATATATATATATATATATATAATTAAGCATATATATTACACCATATATATTACTAAATATATTGTTAAATATATATGATGATTTCATTAATCGCGATTTTACTGTCACACGGATGATACAGCGAATTACACGGCTACATTTAGTGCGAAATGCGATACAAAACGTTTATAAGAATACAGGCATTAGAACGCTCCCGATCTTCGTGAGGGTTGCGTTTATCCTGTTATGATTATTCTATTATAGTTGCTGATCCTGTTATAGCCCGCGTTATCGACACCGAATCTTCCGGGTACAGTTTTAGGAGTCCATTGCCTCCGGGATGATTTTCTCCGTCGAAAGGAAAATCTAATAAAAACAGCTCGTTGCGCTCTCGTGACATTAAAGCAGATGTAAAGCATAGTCTTCCCGAAGGTCTATATTAATTCTCAACTGATCCAACCGAATGGAATTTCACTCGCTATTTAGTAACAGTTTTCACTATATAAATTACTGACCGGAAGCATCGATATATGTTTACTAGAGAAAAAACTTGTTCTTCTTTTGTACTCCGCGAACATTCTCTCTCGAATTCCGTGTTTCTCTCTTGAAAAATTATTAAAATTTTCATGGCGCGTTATACCCTATTAATTTTCCATGAGCGTTACAAATGTATGTATTTTAAATATTTAAATCCGAATAATGGAAAAATTATTAAAATTTTCATAACGCACGCACACATAGTGCTAGCTCGATAAATCACATTCAAGGTAAAATAAAAATACTTTACGCTTAAATCGTACGATTTTAAGTTAAAAAAGTATCCATTATTTAATAACGACTATCAATCATACATTTTTTATCGACTTAAAAAGAGCAAGTTCTCAGTTTGTCCTGTATGTACAATATATTTGTTTGTATGCATGCTTGTTTGTCTACATATTCCCTTATGACTTAAGAACCAGGAGAGATATTAAAATGAAATTGTTTGTCATTTATTCAATATATTATTCAGTATCTGTATAGTTCTTATACTGTGAGGGGAAAATATCTAAAAAATAAGAAAATATTTATGTGATATATACTAATAATATGTTTACTTAAATATAATCCTTTTATTTAAATAAAGTAAACAATTGTTTACTTAAATATAATCCTTTTATTTAAATAAAGTAAACAATTGCTTTCATGAAAAGCTTAGTTTCTTAAAGTTTTAAGAAAATGTATATTTTCTAATTTGAGGAATATTTTATATTAATGTAAATAAATATGTTATTAGTACTCTCCACTGAATAAATTTTTATTTCATATCTTAAATATTTTTTCTTTTTCATACACACACATACATAGTATAAATTAATGTCATTACCCGAATTTGTCCAGATAAGCTGAAAATCGCGTAATTGCATTACTTTCTTGAAAATTCGAAAATATTTAGAGATACAAAGACGAAACTTTTATTTTTAACCGAAAGGAACAAATTTTTAGTAAATAATTAAGAAGTATGAAATAAAAAATATTAAATGGGATAAATCGTCTTCAAGAGTCTCAAAAGCTCTAAAAGGTATGAAATAATTTTGAATCAATATATATCTATCCTATAAGGATATATATCTATCCTATATGTATCCTATACCTACAATCTTATCTCAATATTCTAACGATATTAAAACCAATGATATTAAAACCAATACTAAATCAAGTTGAAAACCAACTACCATAACTATGTACATAATTATATGTACATAAACGGCAGAGCAAGAAATAATAAAAAGAGAATATAATTATTGACTCAATCAATCAAGTTTTTGCGCCGACCGCTGCATAAGAATATCGATTGAAAATCATTTCATACTTCTTATGTCTTCTTCTGAGCTCTGGAATAAACGACACGGAAGTGTTTGGAATTTCAAAATGAAAACGATTATCCAGGTACAACCCGCGACCTCGAGGGAAGGGGAGAGTTCAATTCAAGGAGATTTCGCGGATCTGCAAGTGCAAGTGCTTTCGCGCACGCGGGTCATCGTCGATACCGCGCGCGTATTTCGCACGGTAATTGCACAACGGCGTCCATTTGAATAATTTCAACCACGCAGTGCGCAAGGACGTGTACTCACCAGGGACACTGGCTGGTGGACGGCTAGGTAGCTTGCCCACGTTTCGCTGCGGGCAGGAATCCGCTCGACCGGAGCGGATGACCGCTGATCGTAGTAGTGGTCGTGGCGGACGCAGGGCGTGTCTCTTATCTATCGCCGCCGAATGCTGAGGGCGATCATAAATATGATCGGCCGTTTGGCGACGGGCCGTCCTTCCGTGTCGATCGCCGTTCCGAATGTTCGATCACGGTCATTGAGGCGGACGTTGTCTCGGCTTCGTGTCTCGATCGATTCCCCGCGTAATTTGCCGCACTTCGGATATTAGTTCACGCGATATTCGCGCGGAGAGACGCGCGCGAGTTGGCCGCCGTTGCGCGCTGTGCAATCACGCTAAAATCGCGGGTAATATTCGAGCTCAGAGCGAAGCACCTCGACCGGCGGTGAAGTTTCATTAAATCGAGCACGGGACGCTCTCTCGAGGCGATCCCTTCCTCCCCCGCTTGATTGCGTTCCGATTGTCCAACTAATTTGCGCGCCGTCGTTCGTCTGTCACGACGCGCTCTCCTGGTGGATTTAAATCTTTTTTTCCCCTACGTGGTCTCGCAAACACTCGGTCGCGTCGGGTTGTCGTATAAAAAGGAACACTTCGCGTCTTCTTACACGCGCGACAATCGATGGCAGCCGTTCAAACCGTCAAAGTTAATTATGGCCTGGCGAGGCACCGTGAGAATCTTTGCGGAAACCCGACGCGTTTCAGCTCGCGTGAGCGATTTCGTGATGCGCAATATAGAACGTGCCAGATGAAGAAGGATAGGGTTCATTGGAGAGAACGACGCGCAAGTAAGGGAGAATTCGCACTTTGGTGAAAAAGCATAAGTCAATCAGAAGTCGCGCTAGTAGGGAAGCAGAAACTGCCGACTATTAGCGCGAGTTCTGATTGACTTCTGCCTTTCTACTTTTCTGCTAAGGTGCGAATTCTCCCTTAAATCTAAGCGGTAATCAAATTGACCAAGCACAGTCGATGATTGTTGGCCCGAGAATAATCGGTTGGTCGATTTTTTCACTGCTCAAGTTTTCTTAAGTCTCTCCGTTTTTCTGCATACCACTCGCTAGGGTCGTGGCACACAGAAAAATGGAAGCAGTGAGACTTGAGCTGTAAGAAAATTGTGACCTCAATCAATTCACTCTACTCCACTCTACTCAATCATAATTGATTATTCTCGGACCGTAAGGAGAATCGTTAATTGCAGTTGGTCGATTTGCTTAACTTTTACCGCTTATGTTTTTCTATGCGCTCTCGGTTTTGCACGACGAATACCAATCTCAACTCGAGGGTCGCGCGACGCGCTGAACGGGCGATACAAATCCGGAAGATGTAAACGTGCCGAGATTACGTTTACTTTGACACCGGATACGAAGGTTGCTTCGACGGGTCACGACATGCCCGATAGTCGCGTGACTTTGCGCAAAAAACACCTCTGTTCCCGGCAAACGACTATCATTATCCTCAAGAAGAGAGATCACCTCGACAAACGACGGCTGCAGCACACGGAAGTACGTAAGCGACAATGAACGGTCGGCCAATCACATTCGTGAATTATTGCGGACCTAACGGCTGTCGCGTCGAATCGCCCGGTTGTGATTGATCGGCTCTCGCTCGTCATTGCAGTTTTAGCGCTTTACGTTTTATCCACGGGGAAACCGTTGACCTCGGCTGTGCACGGGAGCAAAAAAAAAGCAGCGATCTAATGGCCATTACGGCGAGTGCAGCTCGAATCTCTGCGCTCCCGCGTGAGAACTCGTGGCGTCCCGCGTTTTTGCATACCGTCGTCGCTCTCCGGCCGCGATAATGACTCGTAATCAGCGAAGAGGCCGATGCAAACACGTGGTGTGACCGCGACGCGACGGTCAGCGCGTATCCTCGAACGTCGAGTGCACACACCGCGCGTTATCGCGTTAAATCGTTAACGGACGCGTCTGTCCTCGCGCGATTATTTGCCCTCGCGTTACCGCGCTCGCACTCGCACTCGCATGATTCCGCTACCTTTGACCGTCGACGAAATTCGGCCGCCGGCACGCGCGTCTTTCTTCTCTTCCTCTGTCTCGCTCTCTTCTGCCTTTTCTTCGTACTACGTCCGTTAACGCTTGACGAACGATCCGACGCCAGCCCGCCAATATCAGCCGATTGTTGTGACAATACGACGGAAAAGGCTTGCAAAGAGTTCGCGAAGCACGCGGCCGCGCAGCAGCTACTAAACTCCTTCTCGAGCGGCGCGAACCAAACGTGACTCGAAGTGCGCGCGCCGCCACCGCCGAGAAACTAGCGGCGTTGAATCGACGACAAGGACGACAACGGACAACTACGGCGACGGGGACGACGACGATGACGACGAGGACGCCCCCGTAGCCGTTAGGCAAAGCTGCTCCTGAGGGGTTGACTTTCCCTGCGCGACTGATGTCGCTCTCAACGAACCAACCACAATGCGCGGTTTTCTCTCCACTAACTTTGCAAAACGGACTGTGCGTGCTCAATTAAAGACTGTGTATGTGTGTGTGTATGAAAGTGTTAAGAATGATGAGTAAATAAGTTATAGGTGAACGAATATTCTCCAATGCTTATTAATTGATTGACAGAATGATAACTTCAGTATATTTAATCGGTATATTAAATCGGCTCTCTGCATATGCGGAGAATATCGTTCTACTGTTAAGAAAAGCAATTACTCAGTTTACTCTTTTTTCGTGGTTATCTTCAACACAGAATATTTTCTTGACAAAGTCTTAAAATATATTCCTGGCAATTTTGAGAAAAGCTCATTACGGTGTAATCCAAAGAAGAAATTTATTCTCTAAAAATATTATAAAATTATTTCATAAAAAAAGTTAGCTTATTTATATGTAATATACAAACTGAATTTTTGTTTTAATATTCTCGATTGAAGTGATACACTTACTAGGATTCAGAATGAATTTTTAATAAATTTGATACTTATGAGATGAACTTGTGATGGATTTACGGATACACAGAATTATAAAATACTTCAATTAAATACATTTATCTGAATGTAAGTATCCTGAATATATTCTTCTGCGTGTGTATTGGTGTATACAATCTCGTAGGTGCGATTGGCTGCGTTTGATTAGTATGCAGTGTAGCCACATATTGGTTGCGTTCAGCGAACACAACAATTGTGCAACTGTTGAGTAAAAATTATAATCTATGATTGATGTATACTTTTAGATCTACTAATCATATGCAATTTATGTCCGCTGAACACAGCCAATGATTCGACATTTGTAAATATGAGGTGCATGTTTTAAGATCAAGCCGCGCCTTTACACTTGCATCTTGTTTTAAATCATATCGGTATAACCTTACGCTTTTATTGACTAAACTTTTGTATATTATATGCAGGATTATGTAAGTAGAAATATGAAATATTTTAATTATGTTTTAACTGGACATTATGCTTATTATTTTTCTTTGGAACTTAACGCGCATTTCAAATATAAACGTAAACCACGCAAGTATTACGTGTAAAAAAATATTGTATTTTACAGGCGTTAAATATTTGTATTTTTCAGAAGTAAGCTAAAATATAACATTTTTATATCTGAAATTTCTCCTCCTTATGCTTCTATTTATGTATTGTTATTTTGTATGAAAAATGATACATTCACGATTCGAGGAGAAAATGAGAGAAAAAAGCTAGAAGCACAGCAGAAATAGTTACATAAAGGAGGAAGGTAAAAGTATTTGTATTTTCTAGCCACATTCTTTTATTCTTTATCTCCTACGCTCCATCCATTAAAGATCGTAACGTCCCGAGACTTTTCCTAGAAATCACACTTTCGTAGCTTACAGAACATTCTAAATCGCGCCGCTTTTCTGTGGGATATTTCTGGTGATTTATGACATGAACGCAGGTGGCATTTCGCGCTGCATTGGTGATATTTGTCTTTCGACATTTTAAATTATTACATGTGCTCATATGTGTATTTGATATTTCGAACCGGAGAATATCGCTCTCGAAATTGTATATTGTAACAATTAATGAGATAAATAAACGCACATTTTAGATATTTGGAAAAAATATAAAATTAGAGTAATATATTATTAT